GCCCTCTCCCAGACCCTCCCTCTCCAACCTCTCCACATCCTTTCTGTAGTGGGGGGCCCAAAACTGAACACAGTACTCCAGATGTGGCCCTCACCAGTACTGAATAGAAGAAAATAATCGTTTCCCATGACCTACTGGCAACACTCCTACTGATGCAGCCCAGTATGCCGCTAGCCTTCTTGGCAACAAGGGCACACTGTTGGCTCATATCCAGCTGACTGTCCACAGTAACCCCCAGGTCCTTTTCTGCAGATCTGCTGCCCAGCCACTCAGCCCCCAGCCTGTACTGGTGCATGGGAGTGTTCTGTCCTAAGTGCAGGACTTTGAACTTGTCCTTGCTGAACCTCATGAGATTCCTTTTAGCCCACTCCTCCAATTTGTCTAGGTCTCTCTGAATCCTAGCCCTGCCCTCTAGCATATCTATTACTCCCCCCAGCTTGGTGTTCTCTGCAAAGTTGCTGAGGGTGCACTCTATGCAATCTTCTAGATCATCTACTTTACTTCTGGTAAGTAAAATGAGTTACCTTCAGTGTTAACACACATCTCCATATCCGTGCAATCGGTTTTTGGTGGGTTTTCTTGACTGCTGTTGTTTTCATTAGTCCTTAGTTCCTTTTCATTTGTAAATGCTGTTCCCAAAATCACCTGTCCATTTGTCAGACTGTCCCCACCCTCATTTTCAGCACGTGACAGAAAAAAAAGAACCTTTGAAGAATTGTCATCATTCTCGTGTCCTTTGCCTTCAGCACACTCGCTTATATCCACAGGGTCTATTCTGGAAGTTGATGTGGAAGGTGATGTAGAAGCCTCATAATTTGGACTGGATTTACTAGAGCTCAGAGCATCCAGATCAGTTACCAAAACTTGGGTGGAACATTTCTCACACACACGCAAAGAAACCTGCTCTTCCTCTGGATATTTCACAGTGTTTTCCGTATTCAAAGTGGTCTCCTCTTCCTCCTGACTCTCTAAAATTTCCTCTGGATATTTTACAACACTGCCCTCATTGACAGTAGTCTCCTCTTTCTCCTCATTCCTTAAAATTTCCTCTGGATATTTTACAACATTGTCCTCATTCAAAGTGGTCTCCTCTTCCTCCTGACTCTTTAAAATTTCATCTGGATATTTTACAACGTTGTCCTCATTCAGAGTAATCTCCTCTTCTTCCTTTCTTAAAATTTCCTTTGGATATTGTACAACACAGCAGGCCTCATTCAAAGTGCTGAAATGTGTGACATTGTCCTCATTCAAAGTGGCCTCCTCTTCCTCCTGACTCTCTAAAATTTCCTCTGGATATTTTACATTGTCCTTATTGAGAGTAGTCTCCTCTTTCTCCTCATTCCTTAAAACTTCCTCTGGATATTTTACAACATTGTCTTCATTCAAAATGGTCTCCTTTTCCTCCTGACTCTTTAAAATTTCATCTGGATATTTTACAACGTTGTCCTCATTCAGAGTAATCTCCTCTTCTTCCTCATTTCTTAAAATTGGATATTTTACAACACAGCAGGCCTCATTCAAAGTGCTGAAATGTGTAACACTGTCCTCATTCAAAGTGCTCTCCTCTTCCTGACTCCTTATAATGTTATCATCATCTGAAGGCCTCTGCTCTTCCTCTGTGTTTTTTATGGTGCTGACATTATTCAAAGCAGTTTCCTCTTCCTTCTCCTGACTGTTCAAATCGTTACCTGTTGAGACTTCCTGTTCTTCATCTTCTATAAAATCATCATCACTCAGCACTAAGACAGTTATTGGGAGGTCGATTTCAAAGACATCAGACTCTGAGGGCAGAAAAAGACAGTATTAGCAACCGTTCCAAAACTCCCAGATAACCCGTTCCCTTCGCTTTGAGTCAGACAAACAGAAATTGAACTGTCATCTGGCAGTCGTTAGGTTTAGTGTCCCCATCTCTCAAACAACCTTGTTTCCTCATCCATGTGTCATAGCCAGTTAACCACACACCACTTCTTTGCCACCTGCTGGTTTGTCAGCTACACCTCCCAAGTCCACCCTATAATGTCACTCCCAATGGGGAGCATGAAAACTGTTAATATTATTATAATACTGCTTAGGGGCTACATAAGTCCCCTGCGGTTCAGTGGCAGAATCCTTCTCTGCCACGCAGGACACCTGGGTTTGATTCACAGACACACATACAACTATAGCCACTGAGGCAGTGAATGTCTGGACTCAGTCAGGCCGTTGCATTTTGTCTAAAGGGGGGCTTGACAGTTTGGGCAGCCTCCACCCCTGCCTATGTTTATGCACCGAAGGTCTGGGTGACTTCTCATGCACACACCGTGACCCAGACTGACTGATGGTTGTTTGCTACTAGTGGCCACTACTGAAATTACAAACCTGCTGTGTTAAGTATTAAGTGCACCTGCCCCAAGGCAGCTTATAATTTAAATTTGTAAAACAGCAAAAGAGTGGGAGGGGATGTACCGAGAGGGAAAGTCATCTGCTTCAGGTTATGCAAGGAGTCAGCAGCAGGGCCAGAACAGAACTTGAAAATCAAAATTACACACGTGAGTTTCTTCACACTTGTTCTGCCCTCCTCTCACCAAATAAAAAGCAGAGGTCAACTCTAAGGTGACTAATTAAACTCTTTGGGGAGTTGAGCAAAGATTTCTTAGGTGTCCGCAGAGAATCAGGCATTCATAAAATACTGCACAGATAAGCCAGTATTTTTTCCCCCTATTTTAGGGCCACTTGCTTGCGAATGGGACTGGGCACAGTTCTTGTTATGATGTAACCCAGGGGGCTTCATATGTGCTTATGAAGAGACAGATGGCTCACGGCTTTACTCAGGAGAAGTGAAGCAGATATACTTTTTAGATAGATAGCATATATCTATACAGGTTTCTGTTGCTTTATGTGGGTTCTGTATGAGCAAATTCGCTCTTATGCGACGACCCTTTTTATACCCCAAATTTGTTATACACAAGGTAAATTCACTCTTATGTGACAGGTGTGGTGGAAGTCCGTCACTCAGGGCAGCTGGTGCTCATGCTTCTGCAGCTGCAGCTGCCCTGGGAGCAGCGCAACGCCACGTGCATCCCGACACGGGGTGGGGAGGGGCCACAACGCAGCCTAGCAGTGCTGCTCCCGGGGCAGTTGCAGCTGGGCGCAAAGCACAGCGTGCAGTGGCAGCTGCCTGTCTGCTGTTGGCGAGTACCAAAATTGGCTTCTAAAAGTGGTAGAAATGGGTCTGGGAGTCAGTACAGTTGAGGTCTTGGAATATATCGCTATTTGTTACATTGTAAAGTGGGTTGCCTTTATTTCATAGACATTAGGGCTGGAAGGGACCTCGGAAAATCATTGAGTCCAGCCCCCTGCCCAAAGGGCAGGAAGTCAGCTGGGGTCATAGGATCCCAGCAAGATAAGCATCCAGTTTGTTCTTGAAGGTGTTCAATGTAGGTGCTTGAACCACCTCCAGTGGCAGGCTGTTCCAGACCTTGGGGGCTCAGACAGGAAAGAAATTCTTCCTTATGTCCAGCCTGAAACGGTCTAGTAGTAGTTTATGACCATTCGACCTAGTCGTCATCCCTTGGGGCGCTCTGGTGAACAAATGTTCCCCCAGATGCTGGTGGTCACCCCTGATAAACTTGTAGGTGGCCATCAGATCACCCCTGAGCCTGCGCTTTTCCAGGCTAAAGAGCCCCAGGGCTCTCAGCCTGTCATCGTAGGGTCTGCTTCCCTGACCTCTGATCATGCGCGTGGCTCTTCTCTGGACTCTCTCAAGCTTCTCCACATCCTTTTTGAATTGTGGAGCCCAAAACTGGACGCAGTACTCCAGCTGCGGCCTCACCAAGGCCGAGTACAAGGGGAGAATGACGTCCCGGGATTTGCTTGAGAAGCATCTATGGATGCAAGCCAGCGTTTTGGTCGCTTTACTAGCCGCCGCATCGCATTGCAGGCTCACGTTCATCTTGTGGTCAATGATGACCCCCAAGTCTCTTTCTTCCATAGTGCTAGCCAACATAGCACTGCCGAGCCTATAAGGATGCTGCGGGTTTTTCTTCCCAAGGTGGAGAACCTTGCATTTACTGGCGTTGAACACTCAAATATGCGAATTTGAGTTACGCGCTGTCTTCCAGGAACGCATGTACAGCATAAAGCGAGGGAAACCTGCATCTATATAGATCTATCTATAGATAGATAAAATGTGGCTTGTATCCCTGAAAAACAAGTTTTTATGATATTGCATTATCTGCTTTACTTAATTTGACCAAAGCCATTAGCAGTCTGACCCTCCATAACCTGTGTCAAGAGTGAAGAAGCCCTTGCCGAGTGATCCCAGCAAGACTTAAACCAGGAGACAACAACCTGCTGACTTGATGCTGCTGGGTCTTAGTTCTTGTGAGAGCCACTGAAGGTTTCATCACAGCAAGTGCCAGGCCCAGGCCCACCTGCAAGCAAACAGCCCTAAACCAGGGGAAAATACTATTGGATTAAAGGGAAATTAGTTTTATTCGTGTGTGTGTGTGTGTATATATGTAGGTGTGTGTATATACATGTGTGTGTGTGGGTGTATGAGATGTGCACAAGTGTGTGTAAATGTGTGTAAACCCAAAAGCTTGCTAAGAATTTTTCCAGCTTTCTGAGTCAGTCCAATGAAAGGTATCAGATGTACCCAAAGAGGCGTGTGTATCTAGATACATATATGTGTGTGGATGCACATCCGTGTGTGTTTGTATAACTGTGTCAACACACGCCCCACCCTGTGCACGCGGGTCTACACGTGTGTGCTCCGACCCCACCCCAGCCTCTCGTGACGCCGCAGCCCGGCACGCGCGGGGTTAAGCTCCCGCGTGCGCACACGTCACACCTCATTTGCATACCCCGCACCAGGCTGCACTGCGGCTGCGCAGGCGGGATGGGGGAGGGGTGGACGCC